ATAAACCTTGTTTTATGCAGCAGGCATCTCTCTTGTCTGAGCTACCCCATAATATGACAGTTCTGTAAATGAGGACAAAATGGAAGTTATAGACCAGGCTAAACCAATTCCAATCCCGTCTTTTGGTATCCCTACAAAGAAAGGCAGTGATGAACACAGATCACAGAATGGTTGGGGTTGAAAAGGATGCCTGGAGATCACCTAGTCCAACCCCGCTGATAAAGCAGGTTCACCTAGAGGAGGTTGCACAAGCTCGGATCCTGGTGGGTTTTGAATGTCTTCAGAGGAGAACACAGCCTCTCTGGGCAGCCTGTTCCAGTGCTCTGCCACCCGCAGAGTAAGGAAGTTTTTCCTCGTATTCAGATAGAATAACTTCCCATGCTTCAGTTTGTGCCTGTTCCTGGGCACTAGTGAAAAGAGTGGCCCCATCCTTTTGACACCTGCCCTTAAGGTACTTGTATGCATTGATAAGATCTGCCTCAGATATCTCCTCTGCAGGTTAAACAGGCCCAGTGCTCTCAGCCCGTCCTCATAAGAGAGATGCTGCAGTCCCCTGATCATCCTTGTGGCCTCCAATGCACCCTCTCTAGTAGCTCCTTGTCTTTCTTGAACCGGGGATCTGGAAACTGGACAAAGTACTAAAGATGAGACCTCAATGGAGCAGATTAAAGGGGGAGGACTACCTCACTCGACCTGCTGGCCATGCTCTTCCTAATGAGCCCAGGCTACCATTGCCCTTCTTGGCCACAAAGGCACACTGCTGGCTCATGGACAACTTGTCCACCAGAACTCCCAGGTCCTTTGCAGAGCTGCTTTCCAGCAGGTCAACCCCTAACCTGAACTGGTCCATGGGGTTATTACTCCTGCAGGAGCAGAACCCTGCACTTGCTTTTGTTGAATTTCATTAGGTTCTTCATCCAACTCCAGCCTGTCCAGGTCTTGCTGAGTGGCCGCACAGCCTTCTGGTGTATCAGCCACTCCCAGTTTTGTATCATCAGCAAACTTGCTAAGGGGACACTCTGCCCCTTCCTCCATGTTATCAACGAACAAGTTGAACAATGAAGCTAAGCTGCTCTGATAAAAAATCTCTGGAAGGAAGCCTTTTTATGAACCTCAGGCTCTTAGAATTCTAATAGAATGCTCATTCCCTTTCCATTTTGTACGTGGTTGTAAGTATAGCCTTCAGCTTCTCTTAACAGAGGACTGATATATATGATTTTGCTGGCTTTAGGCCCTTTTATGTTTGATCATTTTGGAAGCTCTTGCCCTGCAAAACCCAGCAAGGTTTTGAGGGGAAGTTACCTGCATCGTTTTCTTGTGTCGAGTTCCTCAAAGAAGAGTTGAGGGATTGGAGGGTGAGGAGAAGAAAGGCTGACTTAGGCTATAACTCCAGTGCTTCAACAGAGCATATGCAAAGTCAGGAGGAAAAAGATACAACTCTTTTTTAAAAAGGTTTTAAAAAAAAACCACCCCACTGAACATAAAAGCTATAGAATTCTCTTTGCTTAACTCTAATTTGCTCAAGTTACCAAGTGTACTGGTAACGCTGGTTGTTTTACTGCACTTTTTGGAGTATGTTTGCTGGGAAGCCGGTTATGTTTCAAATAAGACTGGCACATAAGCTCTGTCCTTCCAGGAATGCCACATCAGTACTCAGGTTGGTCCTGGCACTCCTTGGACTGACATGTGAATACAAAGTGCCCTAAATGTGAATTTGTGTTATTCACACAATCTTTAACCTCCTGTCTCACTGGTAAGTTGGCATTTGTCCCAGAGCTCTTAGTACAGAATTATTTCCTTGTACCTATCAGTCACCTAGAAAGCAGGCTTGTCACTAGCTGGGCTGGAATTGGAAGGGCCCTCCTATCAGCAGGTTCCTGCTGGTCTTCCACAGTCCCTGTCTGTGAGGATCTACCAAGTTCCTGCAGTTGTTGTGGTCACCCTTGGTTTGCCAACGAGTAGAGGCTGTGGCTCAGTTCTCCTCTGTCCTGGCTGCACAAACAGAGATAAGAGACTATTATGGACATAAATGTGGTTGTATAAAAGAGTAGTCGAGAGACTGATTGGGTGAAACATCTACCCTACCCCCTTGCCACTACTAGTGTAATAGCCAGATACCAATGTAAATACCCTCCCAAAATCAGAGGACCTCAGTAAAGAGACAATCACGTGAAATACAAAGATCAGAAAGCTACAGCAATATTGTCCCTCTCTCCCATCCTGCCATGTTGACCATTAATTGCTATGGAAAGAATAATCCCACTCCCTTGTTTCTGAGGCAGTAGGAATACTCAGTGCCAAGATCAGTGATGCTTCCATTCTCCGACTGTGGTGGGCTCCAAATTCCTACGCATGGTATCAATGGAATGATGTGATGCTTTCCTTGCTTCTAGGGTCTGCAGAAACCATCAGCCCTTTCCATCACCATGGGCTGAAGTACACTTGGGTTTTCCACAGGGTACTTCATCCAGGTCCTAGTCCTCCCACTCTCCAGTTGCTTATAAAGGACAGGATGAAGGCAATTGTTTCTAAAAGACTGGTTGTGATTCAGCAGGAGACCAATTTTCTGGTGCTATTGCAAGCTCTAGAAGCAGTGCCTCAGCATCAGAGGGGGAAGGGTTTTTATAGAAGAAACTTGTTAGCACCAGAGAAGAAAGAAGGACAATAACCTATTTGAGTCTGTGAAAACTGGGGCAGTCGGGGACTCGTTGTCTGCCAAAGCCTTTTCACTTCACAGCCATGGGCACCACATGTCAAAGCAACTATTCAGTTCAACTGCAGTCCCAGCAAGGATCTGGGACACAGAGCAATTGCAACTTCATGGCACCTGAGTCATCGAGCACCTGCAATTTATTCAGGCTTTGATGGATTTGCAAGAAAATTTGCAAATTTTCTACAGTCTCTGAAGTTTCTTGCTTGGTATGGGACAGTGATGATGTCTTCCCTCTTGCTAGCCCCAGCCTTTGCTGGACCAAAGGAAGGGACCTGCCACTAGAGAGCTCAGAGCCTGTCCATCCCTGGAGGGCTCGGTCTGCGTGCAAGTGGGTTGGAATTTGGAGCAGTTGTAAACACATATTTGGCATTCTTCTTGCAGTATGGGGGCCACCACATTCAAGGGATGCGAGATCAAACCACTGCTATATTTTGTAGGTATAAAGTGGTGTTGCTTTTGTACTTACCTTTTTGCTCAGGAAAGAGCTGACTTCTGGAAAACCAGTGCATTCAACCGGAGATGGATCTGCCTGCAGCTGTCTTGCTGGGAGTGCTCTAGCACACTGACTCAGCTGCTTCTGGATGGTCAAATGTGACTAGGAAGTACAGAATAACATCCTCTGAGACCTCTTGCATGTGGGATGAACATGTGCTCATATCCCATCCTCCTTCCTCTCTTTCCCACCCCTCCAGAATTTCACACCACAAAGCTCCATACCTTACCGCATCCAGCACATGGATGTTGTGTGCACATATCCCACGCTCTGCCTGTGCACAGGCACCCCATCAGAATCCCCACCTGAGCAGCACATTGCTTGTGCTTTGTAGTTTAAAAGGCTGGTATGAAAGCAATCCTGTTCCCCATAAAATGTCTCAGTGGAGGCTGTTAGCCAGGGACTAGGGAGCACTTCCATTTGTTGGCATGCACTGGATAGCTGTCTCAGGTGACAGGGCACTACCAGACAGGATCACCGGAGCATTGCTCTGGAACCAAGAGGGTCACAGGTATCAAGTGGAGCCAACATACTTGGATGCCTCCACCTATGCGAAGTCTCTCCTGCATCCAGCATAGATATTCCAGACTGAAATCACAGACTCACTTGTCATAGACTGGATGAAAAACAGTTCCTAAAACTTTCTGGCTCCTTAGGCAGGGAAGAAATCTGCATCTATAAATGCAAGATGCTGGGAAGGAAGGAAGGAAGAAAAGATGGCAAATATCTGAACTGTGATTTTTGTTATCTCTGCAAAAGGCTTTTTTATTATTATATTATTCCCTTAAATAATATAATAATTTCCACAAAAACAGGCAGCAGAACACTGCCTGTCAATTTTTGTCCCAATTGCTTTGTGCAACAATACTGAAGAAAGGGAAGCGTAAGGTGTTATTAAACTCACCCAGCACACCCACTCCTAACCCCGTTCTGGGGTACAGTCCCCCCATTCTGCTCCCCTGACAAACCTTCCTGATTAGTTTCTGTCTTCACCCCCAGGCTGACTTCTGCACCCTGATCTCCAAACAGTGACCTCATTGCCTTGTTCAGCTGGTGAGAAACTACAGTAAAATGGGAGAAGTAAACAAAGGCGGGGGGAACTAATGGCCAGAAGATTTAGGAGGCAGGAATCTGCTCCTTGCCGTCCTGCTTCCATTGTGCGCCTGGGCTTGAGAAAGTGCAAGCTGAGCCTCAATGAGCTCTTTTCTTGTCCTGGTTCCTCTGGAAACTCAGCCCAGCCCTCCAGATGGTGACTCAGGACAGCCAGCCTGCAAGTTACATGCCCGCTAGTACTTTGAGCCATGCTCCCATCACCACTACAAATCCCATAGAGTTGGTGCTGGAACTCGCACACCTTCTGCAGCAAGAGCTCTTCATTCCCAGGCCAGCCAGCTCACCGAGATAAAAGTATTAAAAATGAAAGCCTTTATTGTCATGGAGCTGAATTTGTGTCAGCTCTGCGCAGTCAGCAATGTGCCAACCATTGTAGTGGTTGTTCATGCTGATTAGAAAAATAGCATAAACAGCGTTCTCACTAGAAAGAGCATGTTCAATATCATTATACAATGCAGCCTTCAATATCCTCCTTTGGGATATGTTTCAAAGTGTCACCCTGTTCCTGACCCTGACAGATACCTCCAGGTCCTGGCCAGCAGCAGCTCAACTCACATTCGTCTTTCCAGACACTCAGTAAACAGCTTTGTGTCTTTTCTCTTTAAAGGAAGGGGTCTTGCTGAGCTCACCCTGAAATATATCACCCTGGACAAAAGGGCTGAAAGGTTAAGGAGCTCCAGGGGGTGGTTCAGCAGAGAGCTGGGGGCCAGGCGCCTGCCAGAACCAAAGCTATAAAGGCAAAGAGGGGCAAGGGACTGCATCTGACACAGATGCTGCAAGGTCCTGCCTCACCTCCCACAAGCCTTGGGATAAGGAGAAGATGCTGGGGTTCCACTCGTGGCCTTGCTCGCTTTTACTCCTCTTAGTTCTGCTCTCTGCCAGCGTTCAGACTGTGTCCTTATCAGGACAGAGGCTACAGGTAGGAGGGACTGGGAGAGAGCTGAGGGAGGTTTCAGGAGTGGAGGGGCAGTTTGGGGAGGTCATGTTTGAACACGGAATGGCGGTCCCAAATTCCAGCTATCAGAAGCTGTTGTCTGTTCTCGTTGTTCCCTCCCCTTCATCCCAACAGCCTCAGCTCTAGAATGACTGTATCTTTATAACCCAGCTCTTAAGGGGCACCAGCATTACAAGGCAGCGGGCAGACAAAATCTTTTTAGTGCTCTCTGGTCTGGGGTTGGCTGCCTGTGGGACTCCCCATGTTGCCTGCAGAGGCTTTTAACCATAGTCTGATCCTGTCTAACTCCACCTTGTGTCAGCAACAACTAGAAATTATAGCCGTGTCCCTCATCATGTTCAGTGCCTGATTCTGAGGTTTCAGAGGGAAAATACATACTGTTAGGCCAGGATTTTCACTCCTAAGCTCAGTACTACCCCTCATTGAGACCAAGAGCCCCCTTCCTGCCCCAGGATGCCATCTAAGGGCTTCTTTTGGGTAAATCTCTTATCCTCAGCAATTACAGCAATAATACTTTCATCTTTTGAATTTAACCAGCTCCCTCTTACCCAAAGTGTAATATTGAGCCCCAACACCTTGCCTTCAGGTCACGCTGGGAAAGCTACAGGGAAGTAGTTAGGAGGTGAGCTAAAATCACAAGACAGATCCTGCTATGACTCACCGCTTTCACTCCTCGCTCAGGATGCCAGTGTCCGCTTGAATTAACTCGCTGCCGAAAAGAGCCGCACGAAAGGCATCTTCAGCCTTAGCTCAGCATCCACAGGAGGGACAGATGTGGAATGGCTACTGCAGGCTGCTTCCCTGGGCAGCCATGCCATGCCGCCACTGTGCCAAATGCACCTCCCAACCCTTGCCTCCCTACAGCCAGGGGCTGCCAGCAATGCTGGGGGTGTACAGTCAGCAGGTGTCCACCAGCACAGATAACCGAGAGGATTCCCAAAAGATGTGGAGTCCCCTTCTTTCCCACCTGCTCTGCTGCTGCCTCCCCCCCCCCCCCCATCTTTAGCAGCAGGAATTTGGGGCAGGTCTGTCCTCCACACCAGCCCTCTGGATAAAAAGAAACGCCACATAGCAGCCTGAGCACACGGAGGTGCTCAGCACTGGCAGAAGGAGCAAGGACCAAAGCCTGTTACCTTCCAAGTGTTGGGGACACACACGAGAGCAGGACAATCGGCACACAGGCAGAGGCTCACAGCAGCTGGCTGGCTGCTCTTTTGGACAGCAGAATCATTCCAGGCAGCAGGAGCTGCTGGTCTAGCCCTTCCCTGTGTCTGGATGCACCGTCACAGGCACAGCGCCTGTGTGCGGACACCATTTAGTGTCCTGCACAAGCTGTAAAGGTGCGTGCAGTGTGCAGTGGGGCACAAGGGGGTACAAGGCTTTTTTTTGGCCAGGAGCACAGGCAACTCTGCTCTCACCCCCTCTCCTCTCTGTTTATCCCAGATACTCCTTTCCCAGTTGCTGCCCCTGGAGCCCGAGTCCACAGTGGCTGAAGAGGACACGAAGGAGGGGTCCAGTTTTGGCCCTCAGTTGCTCTCCTCCACGCTCCCCTTCCTCCCATCTGGGGCTAGAGCTGCCCGTCCCTCCCTGTGGCGCAAGACGCTCGCCAGTCGCAAGTGGGCACTGCCTCGAGACTGGGCCTGGAAGGCCGTGCCCAGGGGCTGCTTTGGATTGAAACTGGACCGGATTGGGACCTTCAGTGGTTTGGGGTGTTAGCCTTGGAGGGGGCTCTGAGGTGAGAGGGCCAGCAGTGAGGGACTGCATAAGTGGGTAGGGAAGAGGTAAGGGGACACTTGAGAGCACGGGTGCTGGGGAGGACAGGAGCGAGAGGTGGCTGTGGGGCCACCTCCTGCCTGCAGCCGGGGCAAAGGCGGGGACACAGACCCCCCATGCTCCCGGGGCCGGGAGCGGGAGCAGGCAGGCAGCACGCCGCTGGGCGGCTCACCAGCCCTGCTTCTCCACAGCCCGAGGAGACCCAGGCGCCCAGAGGCAGCGCCGTCATGGGAACCAGCGCAGCCCTGTAACACCTGCCCTGAAGGAGAGCGGCAGCGGCATCAGGAGAAGCTGCCCGGTTCCACGGCTGCTTCCTCCCTCCTCTCCGTGCTCGAGGACTCTTGCTCATTAAACAGAGCTGTATTAACCTCTGCTTCCATGCTCATCAGCAGCACCGCTGCCTGAGGCCGTGGTTGCCCGTGTGCGGGTGCAGGGCTGGCAGCGGCGGCAGAGCCCCCACGCGCGGGGCCATGTTGGGTGCACGCCGCCATTCCGGGTGGGCCGGGCAGCACGCGCGGTTGCAGTGCGGTGCTGCCGGGGCCACGACAGAGCCCGGGGGGGGGGGGGGGGGGGGGGGGGGGCGAGCTATCGACCGTGTGCTCGGGCAGGAGGCCTGCGTTGGCTCATCCCAGCCGCACTCTGCCCCCCCCGGGGCTGCGGTGTTTGCCGAGCAAACACTGGGGCCTCCTGTTTGTGCAGAAGCTGTCCCCGAGAGCCATGCCAGCTCCTCAGTGCACTGCGGCTGGGGCACCACAAACCCCGGCGTGCGCTCGCACCCCTCCTGCCCCACCGGTGTACCACACGAGCCATCATCCCCTGGCCTTTACGAAAAGGTTGTAACATCAGCCGAGTCTAAACTTAGCCACGAGCCCCTCAGCAGCACCGGGAATAGCCGTGGTATATAAGAAGAGTTGGGTTACGTTCGAGCTGTGTGACCCCTCTTGCCCCCCACCCTGCTACCTGCATGGCTCCCCCACTCCGCTCTTTCCTCCTCATCTTCAAAGCCCTGCTGAGCCGAGCAGCCAGAGCGATAGGTCTGCTTCCACCATACCCTGCCAGCCCGGGTCTGCACCCCACCTTCCTCCGGGACCCTCTCCCCATGGGATGGAGGATTCTGGCCGTGCTCTGAGCCTTGTGCCTAATGTACGTTTATCCCATTGCACCTGGGCTGCACAAGCCCCGCACCAAGCCACTGGCACGGCTCAGTGAGAGACCCCAGCACGGGGAAGGGGGGGGGGGGGGCTGCAAGGTGGGCAGCAGCGGCAGCCATTCAGGGAGCGCTTCCTTCTCACAAGCAGCCAGCAAAGGCGGGCCGAGGCGGCAGACGGGCAGGATTTCCGCCGTCACGTCCCGCGGGTAGCAGCAGCACTGCCGCAGTGCCTCATTAAGATGGTGTTCACGCTGCGGCGCGTGGCCTGCCGGGGAAGAGGCCGCCCGGCAGACCCGTTCACATCACGCATGGCTAAACTCACCTAAGGGACCCAAAGATGGGCTGGGGTCCCCAGCCTGGGGGCGAGAGAGCTCTCAGCCAGCACCTGCTGCCTCCCAGTGCTGGGGGAATGTGGAGTGCCTGGGGAGCTGCTGCTTCCTCGGGGAGCCTCCAGCATCGCTGTAGCCCCTTTGCCCCCACCGCCATGCTGGGGTGCAGGCGGGCTGGGATCGGGGCACAGGCTGCAGCCGGGGTACTGGGGGAGTCTCCCCTTTGTTACCAGGTGAAAGCAGTGCATGCCATGCCTCGGGGTACTAGCAGCGGTGAGTCCCGAGGAGGCAGCCCCGCACGGGCCATCACTGGGGAGCCCTTCCCGCCTCCCCAGACAGGGGCCCAGCCGCCCTTCCCCGCCCTGGGGCAGGGACAGGACCCAGCTTTCTCCGGCACCACGGTATCTCTCACCATCACCATCACCACCACCACCACGGGTGGCAGTGCAACCCCCACCCCACGGAGACCATTGCGGACCCCACGCGACCCGGCGTGAGGCCTTTGTTACTGGGGTAGGGGGGGGAATGTGGACCGATGAGCCTGGGGGGGGACGACCGAGGCAGCCGCACCCGCAGCGCGGGCGCACGTAGCCCAGCCCGGCCCCTGTGTTCCCATTCGGCGCCGGCCCGACGGGGCGGGCCCCAGCCCTTCCCGTGCGCGGGTATAAAGGGCGGCGGAGCGGCGCTGCGCCACCTTCTCACTGCGCGCTAGGGCGGCTTAGAGGCAGCAGGTAATGGGTTGGGGTGTGGGGGGCAGTGGCGGGGGTGTGCCTAGATGGAGGCGGGGGGGGGATGCCCAGGGGAGGAGGGAGGCGGAGGTGGGAACCCAATAGCATCACCCCACCGGGGGCCGGTGCCGTGGAGGGGATGGGGGCGGACGGAGCGGAGCGGCTGCAGCAGCTCCCCCCCCCCGTGCGGAGCGGGACCGCATGGCGGCGGGCACAAAGGCGGCGTGGAGCGGAGTGCCCCAAGATGGATGCGGGCGGGGGGGGGGGGGGACCAGGCCGCCTGGGGATGGGGGGAGAGGCAGTGGGGGGGGCATCCATAGGCCGCCTGAGAGGGGGGAGGGGAAGAGAACGGGGGGTGGGGGCGGGTTCCGAGCGCGTGCACACACGCACATCCACAACCCACCCGTTAACGGAGAGGCGTTAACGGTGCCCGGGCGAGGCAGGCGCGGCGCCGCTGCCGGCGGGGGGCGGTGACCGGTTCCCTCCCGCCCCATCCGCGCTCCGTGCGCCTCACCGGCGGTTTGTGCCCGTAGGAACATCCCGAAGAGGCGAAGATGGTGAAAGTCGGAGTCAACGGGTGAGTGCCGGGAGCGGGCTGCAGCACCGGGAGGCGACCGGAGGGGGGGGGGGGGGGGGCAAGGTCGGCTCAAGGGCGCGGGGAGGGATTTGGGGTGGGGATAGCCGGTACCCGCCGTGGCCCCCCGTGCTGCATGGAGGGGCTGGGGTGCAGCGGCTGCTGAGTCACTTCCATGCGGGTTCGGGGTGACTCACCCCGGAAGCGCAGCCGCTGCCCGTCTGCCCCAGCTCCCCCCCCTACCCCCCGGGGGGTCCCTGCACCCCACCGGAGGGCTTCAGCCTCCTGCAGAAAGGTCGTCCGATGGATCGTGTGTCGGTGGTGGCCCCGGGAGTGTGCCTGATCCCCCTGGGCTGAGGAGTAACCGGATCCCCGGGGCCCTCAGTAAATTTAGCGCTTGACCTTTTTGGTGCGGGGGTTGATCTTAATCTTTAACTGAGGTGCATCGGCCTTTGGACGGAGCTGCCCGACTCCCTGCTGACCTGCAGGGCAGGGAAGAGCGGGTCATGCTGCGGGAAGGCAGTGGGTCATGCCCGGCCCAGCAGGTTCCCTGTTGCTCTCTCTCATCCGTGTCTATCTCTCCCCAGATTTGGCCGCATCGGCCGCCTGGTCACCCGGGCTGCCGTTCTGTCTGGCAAAGTCCAAGTGGTGGCCATTAACGATCCCTTCATTGATCTGAACTACATGGTGAGTTGCTTTGCAGTGCCCCCTCTGGGCCTTTCTGAGTAGGGCTCCTCTGGCTCTGTTCTAGTAGCTTCCTGGGAAAACCGGGTGTGAGGTAGAGGACACAGAGCTGGGAGCTTCAGCACAGTGGTTGGACAAGGTCACTGTGGAGGTGGGAAGCTGAGATGGCAGCTAGGGTGCCTGACTTTTCCTCTCTATCTCTCCTTGCTAGGTTTACATGTTCAAATATGACTCTACTCATGGTCACTTCCGGGGCACTGTTAAGGCTGAGAATGGGAAGCTTGTGATTAATGGGAATGCCATCACCATCTTCCAGGAGTAAGTATCTCTCTCCCTCTTGCCCCCCTGGAGAGCAAAACCGGGTATTGTGCAGAGCAGCTCTTACAGTTTTGTCGCTCCTCAGGCGTGACCCCAGCAACATCAAGTGGGCAGATGCTGGTGCTGAATATGTTGTGGAGTCTACTGGTGTCTTCACCACTATGGAGAAGGCTGGGGTAAGTATATCACAGTAGCACACAGAAGAAGGGATACTGCTGTTTCTGCCTGTGGGATGCATCACTGTACAGAGTTGCTCAAAATGGGGCTGGGAGGGAGGGGAGGTTGTGTGGTAGAAGTGAGCTGTTGGAGGTATTCTGAGTTACCTAATCTTTATTTTTTCTTCCAGGCTCACCTGAAGGGTGGTGCTAAGCGTGTTATCATCTCTGCCCCCTCTGCTGATGCTCCCATGTTTGTGATGGGTGTCAACCATGAAAAGTATGACAAATCTCTGAAAATTGTCAGGTAAGGAGAAAGATGCTCTTTGGCCTGGGGTCTTATTTTGTCTCTGTAGATGTGTTGTCTCTAGCTGATGTGCTTTTTTTCTCTCCAACCCAGCAATGCCTCTTGCACTACTAACTGCCTGGCACCCTTGGCCAAGGTCATCCATGACAACTTTGGCATCGTGGAGGGTCTTATGGTAGGTCTGAAGCTTGCTGCTGAGAGTGCCCTATCCACAGCTCCCCTCACATGAGAGGGAAAGCATCTATACTCCCTGTGTCCTTTGGATGCTTTTTCTGGAGACTGTTGCCTGTGTTCTTATTCCTGTGCTTTCTTCCCAGACCACTGTCCATGCCATCACAGCCACACAGAAGACAGTGGATGGGCCCTCTGGGAAGCTGTGGAGGGATGGCAGAGGTGCTGCCCAGAACATTATCCCAGCATCTACTGGGGCTGCTAAGGCTGTGGGAAAAGTCATCCCTGAGCTCAATGGGTGAGTGTTGTCCCTTTGGTGTCAGGAGGAGGCAGGCAGTGCCTGGCCAGCTCTGAACCCTTCCTAGCAGCATGGAGGGCTGGCAGAGGTGTGCTGGCTGCTGTTCCCTGCTGACTTGTGTCTGTCACAGGAAACTTACCGGAATGGCTTTCCGTGTGCCAACCCCTAATGTCTCTGTTGTGGACCTGACCTGCCGTCTGGAAAAACCAGTAAGTGATATGGACAAGGCTCTGAAAACCTGAGCTGCCCCTGCTTCTTCTAAACTCTGCTCTCTCTGCATCCATCTTGTCCCCAAGATGTGATCTTTGTGAAAACAGCACCTGGCATGGTGCTTCCATGTATTGTCTCCTTTCCGCCTCTGGTGGATGTCTTCTGCAAGTGGGACCTGACCATCTTAAATTTGTTTCTTTCCAGGCTAAGTATGATGACATTAAGAGGGTAGTGAAGGCTGCTGCTGAAGGGCCCCTGAAGGGCATCCTGGCATACACAGAGGACCAGGTAAGTAACTCTTCATGTCTTGTCCTGTGGTACTGGTGGTTACATCATTTTTCTGATGGCACCAGTCTTGCTGGGATCCTAGTTTGGTAACTTCTGGCTATGGGTAACAATTAATATGTGTTACAACTTCCCTCTGTTCCAGGTTGTCTCCTGTGACTTCAATGGTGACAGCCATTCCTCCACCTTTGATGCGGGTGCTGGCATTGCACT